AATTGGCCTGTTGAACAGGAGCCTTAAGTCTGCTGCTGCTTCAGCCTTGTTATCTCTTTCTCCAGGAGACCAAGGAGAAGCAGGTTCGAGATAAGAGACGTCAGACACTTGTCACAATTGAAAAGGTGAGTGTGCAGCTTACTCCTGTACACGCACACCTCACACTTCCTTCCTGTTCTTCGCTTTAGGCAGAAGAGTCAACCAAGCTAGGAAAAAATGGGACTTGCTAAGCCCTCAGAGTGCTTTGGGACTGCTGAAACTGGCAAGTCCTAGTAAAGACTCCATGCCTGCACCCCTCTTGGATTCAGATAGCAAACTGGGGCCTCACACCACAAGTTTTTCTGTCGGCCTGATTGTGGCATTGTGTTTAAAGCTAGAAATAAATCAGGCTTTTATTAAGACTCCCAGTAAATGATGGCAATGCTTTCCCCCTTATTGGCTCCTTCAGCAGTCCCACCAAGGAGCTAGTGGAGACTAGGCCTGTGTGAAGCAGCAAATATTCACTTCAGATTCGGATTCAGCCAGTTCGGAGGGACAGCGATTCGATTCGGAGATTCGAATCACTGTCCCATGGCTGAATTGGGTCTGAAGATTCGGCGCTGCTTCAGAGATTCAGCCCTAAGCTAAACAGGCAGCAGTCCTCACCATGCTGGACACAGCTGCCTCCCAGCTGTTGAGTCTGTTATGTGTGTGGTGGGGGCGGGGAGGGCAAATCAGTGCTCCCACAGTGAGGTGGGAGGGGAGGAGGGTGAGATGCAGGCATGACTTGTTCCGGGCAGAAGGGGGTAAGCAGCAGCAGGGCATAGCCCCTGCTCTCAGCACTGCCATGCCTGCATTTCCCGCCCCCCAGCCCTAGCTGGGCAGCTTGTCTCAGCCCCAGCCCCGATCCCTCCCTTGCTGTGGGGGTGTTGATCTACCCCTTCCCTCCCCCGTCTGTCCACCACAACAGACTTACCAGCTGGAGGCAGCTGTGTCCAGCATGGTGAGGACTGCTGCCTGTTTAGTCTAGAGCAGAATCTCCAAAGCAGCACCAAATCTTTTCCGAATCCATTCAGAGGCTTCTGATTCAATTCAGACCTTTTCATTGGTTTCATGTTTCGATTCAGACTCAGAGATTTGGCGCTGAATCTCCTCCTCTAATCGGCTACTGAAGCGTTGCACAGCTCTAGTGGAGACCTCTTTAGTATGAGAGGGTGGTATGCTGCTGCCTTTGTGTCTGCCACTGTGGGAGAGATCGATGGAATCCCCTCCTCAGGTTCTTCTGACTAGCTGCACTTTCCATTCCTAAAACTACTTAAGAAACCACTTCCTTTTCCACCTGCCAAGCTCTAATTTAGCTCTTTGTTCTACAGACATATAGCCTCCTCCTAGATGTGGAGGACTATGAGAGACGCTATCTTCTGAGCCTGGAAGGGGAAAGGCCAGCCCTGATGGAGGAGAGGAAGCAGAAGATCTGTGACATGTATGACAATCTGAGGGGGAAAATGCCCAGCCAAGATAGGTGAGGACCCTTTCTGAATGTGTGGGCATATGGAAGGGACTGCACCTGGCTCAGGCATCACTTGCAACAGGGAAACCACCTGAATATTTGTCCCTGGCCCCAGGCAGGGTTTGTGGTCTGCACTAGTAGCAGTATACTTGCCAGCTGGCACAAAGGTAGCTAGAGTCTGTTCATATGAGGTGCCATGCAGATGTCCTTGGAGAAACAAGAGCCTCCAGTACTCTCAGCACTGCACATGAGCTAGCCCAGCCTTGCTGCTCTTCTCTTACAGTGTAGGGAGGGAAGAGAACTTGTTAGTACTGTCTGTGTTGAAGGTCAGGGAAGGTGGTCAGGCCCTTAGCTGCTGCCTACATATAACAGCATCCCTTAGTGACAGCCTTGCTCAAACCAGTAGGGACCCTGACTGTTGCCCTTGTGGTTGGAAAGGATGGGGATAGGGAGGCAAAGATTCTGAAGGGTATGGGGAACTTGTCTCTTTACAAGAGATGGGAAATGTACAGAAATGTAAGAGAAACCAGGCAAACAACAGAGGAGCTTGGGTATTTGGTGGCATTAGTAGTTGCTCTTCCTCTCCTTAGCCCTCCCCCCCCCCCCCCCCCGTGTGGTGGGCTTGTGCTGTTAGTTCTTGTGGATTAATCACTAAAGTGTTTGCTGTGGAGAGGCATTAGCCATGTGCTTCATGGGCATGGTGAGGGGATGCCATGCACATTCCAAGTGGAAGGATTATAACTCGCTGAGAGGCTCTTCTCCCTTGGCTGCTGCCCAGTCCTCCTGTTTCTGACTTTATCTCTAAAGGGGCATGAGTTTTTATCTATAGTAGGGTGGGCCTTTTTTGTCCCCCTTCTGCCATACCTTTTTTATAATGACTCTAGTTTCTTCCTGCCCCCACAAAGTTCCTTTACCAGAGGTTGAAGAGGGTTTGTACCCAAAAGCTTGCAAATAATTTTTCCAACTATCTTAGTTGGTCTAATAAAAAATACTGGATTTGCCCAAATAATCTTGTCTGCCTATGTCCTGAGACCAACTCAGCTACAACCAATACCCCTTTACTAGAGCCTGGAAGATACCTTCCCAGTAAAAGAAACAATAGATAGCATGTCTGTGCTGTGGTCACAGAAGTGACTGTCGGGGGGGAGGAAGGGGGGCACTACCAGAGTCAGCTTAGTAACAGTAACAGTCTAGCTGTAGCAGCACAGGGCTCACTCAGCCTCACCTTTAAGGCCTCACTTGAGAATCTGGTAGTTCCCTGGTGTTGAGCTCATGCAAGCTCTGCACTGCCACAGCTCAACTGGTGTCAGCACCCAAACTTGAGTGAGTTACTGCCATGCAGAAGTAACCGCAGTGTAGACATACTCTGAAATGTGGGGTAAGGGGTGGTATGGAAGCAGTTGTGCAGTATTAACTGCAGTGATCATTGTTGCCCCAGTTTATAAGAGAGCCATTTTAGAGGAACCTTTAAGGCTTGGAGGAGCACCATGCTATTTCCCATGTGTTTCCCTTCAGGCTGAACAAGCAAGGCTTTTGGAAGGCATCCTCTCTGTGGCAGTAAGAGAAGTCATGACTGAATGCTGGCCTGTGTTTAACAAGAATGAGGGAGCACCCTAAATACTTTCCTAGTCTGTACCCAACCACTGTGAATTGGGATTGTTCCTGTTACTGACCAACCACCTGACTCTTCTGTCCTTGGCAGGCCTAGTGATGACCACTTTGTACAAATCATGTGTATCCGGAAAGGGAAACGGTTGGTTGCCCGGATCCTCCCCTTCCTGTCCACGGAGCAGGCCGCTGATATACTCATGGCAACAGCCAGGAACCTGCCTTTCCTTATCAAGAAGGATGCTCAGGATGAGGTAACTAGAGAGGTTGAGGTAGGAAGGGGGCTCCTTTTCACAATGGTTTGTATGCGCTGTCTCTGATTCTCTTAGCAGCTATGACCAGAGCAGGGGACTGGGAATTGGGTTTTGTACTTTCCACACCTGATTCACTGCAGGAGTTTGAGGAGGAAGTGTCTTGACATTTCCATGTTCCCAGTAACGGGGACAGTTGTGTTTCCTTACCTCACATAGGTGTGTGAGCATGAATTATATAGAACTAGCAAAGTGCTCTGTGGTCTTGGAGCAGCATTGGGACAAGTCAGTGTTTGGATACTTCCATTGTAGAACCATCTTCTTCCCACAGTCAGCTGTCCCTGAAATTCTCCCTTGGGCTGAAACTGACCTAGCTTGATCTAAGATAGAAAATGCATGATCTTAGGAAGCTAAAGGAAGTCTGGTCACACAGATGGTCTATTTTTGTCCTGTCCCTCTGAGCGCTGTTAACTTCCCATTTTTTAAAGAAGCTGGAGAACACTTTGTGTTTCTGTCTCTGTCTCTCTTTTTTGCTGTTGTGTTATATGACAGCAGCCCAAAGGACATTAATGTACATCCCCTCCTCTAGTCTTCTAGAAAACTAAAGACAAACAGAAGGGTATGGGCATGATTGTCCTTGCTCCTCCTCCTCCCCCACAAAAAGGCATAATTTTCTTTTAAGTTTAGACAGTGTCTTTATTTCTGTATGGTACCACAATTCAGGTAATGTCTATTACCAAGGAAGTGCAGAAAAGAAGGAAAGAATTTAAACTAAAAGATGCATTTTGTTTTTGACAAAAAAACAAATATCTGAGAAACAAGTAGAAGAGTGAATTTGGTTCTTTCAGCTGAGTAGTGGGAAAGCCTCAGTTCATGAGTCTTTCAGGAGACATCAGACTGAAAGAAGGACCTTTTCAGACTCTTTTTTTTTTTTTTTTTAAAGGCTTAATTCTGAGCTTTTTCCTTTCCCTAGAAGAAAGAACACATGGCACAATCTTCAGAAATGGACAGAATTCTTAAATGCTGACATTTTTCCTCCCTCTGAAGAAGGCTTAAGCTGGGGTTGTGGTGGGGAGGGAACCAAACCATGAATAGCAAAGGACTTCACAGACTGAAAATTCACTTCTTGTACAAACAAGGCTACAGATTTTAAAGCAAACAACAGCAGACTCATAATATCATTTAGTATCTTCCCGGAGGAAGGCAAAGGGTCTGGTCTCTCCTACTTCAGCAGAGGTCTGTATTAATTCCATAGGCTGTTAATTAAGTAAAGCAAACACAAAGCAAAATAAGTAGCCAGGTTAATACTTGTTCTGTTTCGTTTTTCTTTTGGTTTTAAAGAGTGGAAACAAAATGTGAAGACCTGTAAATGCCACATTGAGGTTACATTTGTTAGTGCTCAAACACCAGGAACCTTGCATAATGTAATAGAAGAAGAATGAAAGGAATAATGTATAATATAAATTTAAAAAGGAACCGATCTCAGGAATAAGAGAACAGTTTAGAGTAGTTGCTGACCTGGCTGGGGAACTTCTGCTGAAACCCAGCTTCCCCAAAAGATGGGGTATGGGTGAGGAATTGAAATAGCACTGCTGTTCATACTGAAGCAGTACCCAGTTACCTCCGAGGTTGGAACCCCTCCTCTTAGGTTTGTAGAGATGTGGAAAGAGTGGGTTCCTGCCCCTGGGAGCTTACAGTATACATAGGCAAGAGACAGTAGAACAGTTCTCATCAAGTCTAAAGTGCATAGTCACCCTGTCTCACCCCGAGGTAAAGCTATTGTTGACTCCATGGTGTTGGTGTTCTGTTTATTGTTTTGCCTATATTTTTCTACCAGTCTCCTGTCTACCTTAAACCTTTGTTCTGTGTGTCGCAGCAAGAGCTGGATTCCCTTAAAGAGGGAATATCCTTTGGAGAGCCCTTGTTCTGCTTAGCAATAAACGACCATACCAGTGTTTTAGTTCCCTGGTCTTCCTGGAACGTGTGTTGGGAGAACTCTTCAGGAAGCTGTCTGGTTAATGTTGCTCTTCTCTCATTCCCAGGTGCTGCCCTGCCTGTTGAGACCCTTCTCTCATGTTCTATATCATCTTCCGCTGGGAACTGTCACCAGCCTTCTGCAGCAGCTAGCAAACCTACCTCACAGTGCAACAGCGCTGGCACCTGCCAACCTGCACCTCTCAGCTGTGCTCCAGAGCAAGGTGCTTGGACTAATCCTCTTCCATCTTGCTGGGGTCTCACCCCAGTGTTGATAGTGCTGAGCCAAAGAGATGTGGTTCATGTTCTGCATTGGAGGGGGCTGGAAGAACTAGCCTTTCTTCCCTCTTGCTCAACACGGGCTTGTTGCCAAGACATTGGTTTTAGGGAATTTCAGCATAACTAGCTTAAACCCTTAAGGCCCTGTGTGAGCCATAGCTGACTGCAGCTTCTGCGTGCTCATTGCCTTCAGTGCTAGGATCTGACTTGAGCATAGAAAGCAGGCTGGGGTCTTCAGAGCAGAGAAGGTGCTAGACAAAGAAAGCTTCACTTTCTTAATACTTTTCCCAGTGTCTCTTGCCCCTGGACATTGAGAGGAGGGGGAAGAGCCCCTTTGGCCTCCTTTTAACTGGAAGGAACCCTTATTAGCCAATCCAGCATCCAGGAAGAGGTTCAGGACACCCTCCATAAATTAAAACCTCTGGAGAAACAGACTTTTTCTCCATCCAACTAGTCTGGACACTGCCTCTCTGAGCCCAAAATCTAGGGCTAGGCTAACAGCCTATTCAAAGGCTACCCCTTTTGAATAATTGTTTTCTTCTGTGGAGGGGTAGTGTCTGAGCAAATATTGCTGAAATTTGTAGTCTTAATTGTGAAAGTAGGAATGAATGAGGAAGAAGTCTCATTCCCTTACCTAGCAGCTTTAAGGAAGGGAAATTTTTCAGGCTCATTACAGAGAATTTCCATTACCTTCCTCTTCCCTTTTCTCTAGATCTAACTCCTTGCATTGGCCAGCCAGAATATGGGCAGTGGAAGTTTTGAAAGGTTTGGGAGTTAAAGCAAAACATCCTTTGGCAATACTACCAATGGGGTGGATAGGGGCATTCTTCCTCACAATAGGGTTTATTCTGCTGGTCTGTCTGAGCTTTAACTTTAATGCCAGGGTCTCTGGTGCCTGTGAGAAATAAGTTACCTTATCCTGGATTGGTATTTGATATAGAAAAGAATGAATTGAAATCATGAATGCTGGACCAAGATAAACCCAGCATCTTGGACCAGATCACAATGACACCTCAGCCAAGATGGTTGGTATACCCAAGCATATTGTGAAGGCTGGCACAAAGAGCAGGTGGACTGACACATAGTATATTTTGTTGGGGCAGCAGGCTGCAGACAAGGAATGGAAATGTTTATAGCCATGGCTCTGAATCCAGTCCCAGTAGAATTTGGCAGTGGACCACTTTTGGGTTGGCAGGGGGTGGAATCTGATATGATGAGCCTTGAGCTATCAAAATAACCAGGAGAGCACAGGGATTGAGAGGGAAAGATAAGAAATGAAGAAGCATGTGCCAAAATGTCTGAAAAGGAAACAGGACTATTTTTTAGCTGTTGGGTGGGGGGTGGAAAAAACCACTTGCATTTCTAATTCAAAGTGAGCCTGGTTAGCATCACTCCTGCAGAGACCAACACCGAGTATGAAAGGCTAGGGAGGCCTTTGTCCAACTCTTCTCTCTGAACTTAGTAAACTGTGTCTTGAAGACAGTTATCCTCAGGGTTGAGGGGAAAGTTACAGTAGTTTGTCCTTGAAGGGGAGATAATGGAAAAAGCATTGTCTATCCTGGAATATTCTGCAAATGGTATCTTGATACTGTCTGCAGTCTGGAGAGGTACAGAGAAAACCAGCAGGGACTGGAGAAGGGGAAATGAAGGCTGGTCCTGAAAGAGGGAAGTATGGCTGTGTAACAGGACCAGGAAAAGAAGAGTGGCTCCTTGTTCTGTTGGGTGCACAGAGTGCATGCAGACTTGAAGACCAGCCTGTCTTAAACATGCACTCTCCCTCTTGTTGCAGTTCGGCTTGTCCCTGCTATACTTGGTTTTAAGCCGTGGGGAAGAATTGCAGAGTTCAGATGCTGCCACAGAACTTATGCAAGACAACCAGTGGTGAGTCCCAACTCCATAGCTATCTATGTCTTCCCCTGCATCTATCTTCCTTTTTGAGGATAATGCAGACTAGCCAGTGGTGAGTTGGATATTGCCTTTTTCCATCTACATGCTGAATAATACAACCTCCTGATTAACAGTTGAGACTTTCTGTAACAGTCAAAGAATAAGACCAAGAATCTGGAGATGTCATCTTTTATGTTCCCAGCAGAAATGGGGAATTGCAAATTGCACTGAGCTGATGGTTTCCTGCAGTAATTTGAATCCTTCATATGGTCTTGCTGATTGTGCTGCGCTCTGTACAAAGTTTCTGTGCACATCAGATTAGTGAGGATTACCAGTTGTGGAGAACATGTGCCCCATTGAAGGGATTCTACTTCTTCCTCTCTTGAAAGTGATGCATCTGGCCACCATGGAGATGTTCTTCATTGGAGTCTAGGAAGCTATAAGTTTACTCCTGTATAATGGTGCCATATTGCTGGAGAAAAGTGTTAACAGCAGTTTCTGCCTGACGTAAGGGACTTCTATCCACAGTGATCCATGAATGTTCTTCAAACTGAACAGGAGATACAATGTTGTCAGGGTGAAAAATGCTGACATGATTTTTGAATGCATGAAGAAGAGAACTGGAAAAAGGTAGAAAGGTGATCCTCTTTCCTTTCTCCCCTGAATGCCGTTGCTGAGGTTGATACCAAAATTAGATGGTACTGTATTGGTATCAACATTTTTGTTTTTTAAAAGAACCTGATGGGGAAACTGAAAAAGATACAGAGGGGACTCAAAGGTTTGAGGGCTTGAGAAATACCATACTATTGGAGACTCGAACTAAATCTTTTCTCGCTTGTCAACATTTCAAGAGGACGTGATTTATCGTGTTGTAGGTACTTTCATGGGAAGAAAATGTCAGGTAGCAAAGGGCTTTTTAATGTAATGAGAAAAGGAATAGCAGGAACCAATAGCTGGAAGCTAAAACTAAAAATTCAGATACATAGAAATATAACATATATACTTTTTAAAGTACTGATGATCAGCTACTGGAACAAGCTACCAAGGGAAGAGGTGGATTCTCCATTTCTTCTTCTTGGACTGGATGCTACATTCTGGAAAATGCTTTCGTCCAGCCCAAGTTATTAGGCTCAACATATAGAGGTATCTGAGTGAGATTCTGTAGTCTGTGCTGAAAGCCAGACTGAGTGATTTTTATGGTCCATTCTAGCTTTTAAAAAAGATATGAAACTTGAGAAGGGATTTGTTCAACCAGTCAATTGTTGAATCTGGAAATGTGGAATAGGTGGTCAGTGTAAGTATAAATGCATTGTGTGTGGCCAAAGTGGTAATCCATAGTTGAATCTCTTCAAAGCTCCTGTGAGTTAGATTCTGAAGCCACTCTTATTAGCTGAGTTCTTACAGAAAAGCCTTGCTGTCTCTGGGAACTGAACTTTGGCCTGAATATCCTCTTGGAGCCAGATTCTACCCTCCAGTCTTCTCCTGGCAAATGTATGGTTGGAGGCTTTTCAGATCCTTTCTAGAACAAGCTGTTTGGCCAGGGTGTGCAACATGCAGTCTTCTTGGGTAACATCAGCAGGTGGTGTCTAGGCAAGTGGGCTGGATGGCGAGGGTGCCTAGGTAGCCCTCCAGTTAAAAATTTTAACCTGTAAGAAGAATTTGAATTCGTCACTTCTGGCTGCATTTTCCTGGGAGTGGGCTCTTGCATAGGACCTTGTTGCATTTGACACTTAGCACTTGTTTTATTTTAATTCATAGTAAGCATTACCAAAAGTTAAAACATGTTCTTAGGAATTGCATGGTGATGGTTTATACTACAGCCTCCCAAGCCAGGTCTCTGCCACTGATAGTGGGCAGAGGTAGATATTAGGAACTAAGCCTGGGAGAGAGTGTTGTACCTGCCACTGGATCCCGCTGGGGCTCCCTAGCTGTTGGCTGTGGACAGTAAGAGCCCTTTGTGCTCACTGCATTGCCCATGTACAACATTACTTTCCCTTTCTCCTGGTAGAGACTGGTGCTGCAGAAGCTGCTACTGATTTGGCAGGAACCTCTGCTACTGCCCCTGGGGCTCAGCTCCACTGTGTTTCTAAAGAAGAATTAAGCCCCTGGTGCTGCAGCAGAGGCTTCTGCTGACTCAGCAGGGGCTGCTGGCTGCCCACTCAGCTCGAGAAAAGAAGAGGGCTTGGGCAGTTTGGCTCAGCCAGCAGCCCTTGTGGCATCCTTCAGCTAGGGAGTTAACAGAGCAGCCAAAAGTTTCTAATCCTTCCCTCCTCCTTGCCCCCCCCATCTCTTGCCCCACCTTGACAGCTGCTTGGAGAGCAGAGCTCTCCTTTGCATGATTGTCCATGTGCACCTTCCAGCATGTGGGTGTGCATGTGCTCTGCCTCAGCCCCTCCTTTGGCCACAATGGTGTGTGCCTCTTGCAACTCCTCATGTCTTCTCTGGTAGTATGGAAAAGATCAGGTTGCTACATTTTAATTTTCTACTGTTGCTCATTAGCCTCCTTTGGTTACTATAAACAGAAAAAATTCCTTGGACCTTGAATGTCCTAGTCAAGATTACCAGGTTCCTAGGATTGTTCCTTTACATGGCAAGGCCATCCCCACAAAAATGGATGCTCTCTAAATATCTCTGCTGCCTATTAGAGAATACCACATCCCAAGGAAATCCTCTCTCCAAGTCCTCTCCTCCCTTGCCCCTAAGGAGATGGGAGCAAGACTGTAGTCATCTGTCCCCATTGAGCAAATCAGTGGGATGGGCCTTGGATTCAGGAAGCCAGGACTCACTAGGTCATTCCCCAAGAAAACCCAGGGTTACTAGTTAGGACTCTCTGCCTCACAAGATTGGAAAAGAAAACGCCAGTCAAAGCAAAGGGCTGAAGAAATTCAAAACAGTGGGTCATGATGAATTATCAGATCCAGGTGCTGAGTTACAATTTCCAGGACTACAGGAAGCTTGTCTCCTTTAGGAAGAAGGTGCTGCTTGACTTCTAGGAGCAGTTTGTTTCACTGGTATTGGAAGGCCAAGTGATTGCTCAGGCCAGATAACAAGCAGTCCTAGATGTGGCTTCTATGGTATCCCATTCAAGGCAGATAGCTGTGGTCAGGCAGAAGGTCATGAATCTGCTGCACCTCCATGGCCCCTGGGGAAGGCCACTCTGGAAGGCCCTGCCTTTCAAGGCAGTGGAGTTAGCACCAAAACAGACTATTCACTTTATGACCAACTCGCTAAGCAGCAGCTCTGCAGAAAAAGACCTGGGGGTTACAATAGACAGTAAACTGAATATGAGCCAATAGTGTGCCCTTGTTGCCAAGAAGGTTAATGGCATCCTGGGCCAAGTTAATAGGAGCGTTGCCAACAGATCAAGGGAAGTGAGTATTCCCCCTCTAGTCTGCACTGGTGAGGCCACATCTGGAGTACTGTGTCCAGTTTTGAGCCCCCCACTACACCCCCCACTACAGAAAGGATGTGGGCAAATTGGAGAGTCCAGCGGAGGGCAATGAAAATTGGTTAGGGAGCTGGGACACAGCTTCTGACGAGGGGTTGAAGGAGCTGAGCTTATTTAGTCTAGAAAAGAGAAGACTGAGGGGAGGTTTAATAGCAGCTTTCAACTACCTGAAGAGTGATTTCAAAGAGGATGGAGCTAGACTGTTCTCAGTGGTAGCAGATGACAGAACAAGTAGCAATGGCCTCAAGTTGCAGCAAGGGAAGTTTAGGTTAGATGTGAGGAAAAACCTTCTCACTAGGAGGGTAGTAAAGCACTGAAACAGGCTGCCCAGAAGGGTTGTGGAATCTCCATCCTTGGAGGTTTTTAAGACCTGTCTAGACAAAGCCTTGGCTGGGATGATCTAGTTGGCAATGGTCCTGCTTTGAGCAGGGGATTCAACTAGATGACCTCCTGAGGTCCCTTCCAACACTCATTTTCTATGATTCTATGACCCTGAAAGACTCCTTGACTTGCAAGCACCCACCACCTAAAATAGAAGCACAACAGGTATCAGTTATGTTTTCTTCAAAGTCTGACTGCAGCCCAGATTTTTCCTAGGGTAGATCAAGTTTCTTGGAAAAAAAAAAATACTTCACAGGTGTAGGATGTGTTGTTCTTAAACCATTCCATACAGGTGTTTATCCCCTTTTCGGGAATTCCACTACTTGCCTACTGCCCTGTTCTTACAGTTGGAAAGGTTTCCTTTGAGAGACTATCTAAATCTGCTTTGCTGCAATTTTAAAGCCCTTGGCTCCTATTTTGCCTTATATGGTAAGGAAGAATGAGTGAAATGCTGCCACAGAAAAGAGAAAACAAATATTTGAAAACTGCTGACATAAGATCATAGGAAACCAGGCCTGACCTCAAAAGGTCATCTAGTCAAGCTACCTGCTCAAGGCAAGATTGTCATTGACTAAACCATCCTAGCCCATGTGTCTGTTCAACCTACTCTTGACTATTTCCAAGAATGGAGATTCACAGGTTTCTCTAGATAGCCTGTTCCAATGCTTGACCTCCGTCATAGAGAGTTCCTCCTGATCTCCAACCTAAGTTTCTTCTGCTGAAGCTTGAAGGCCATTGTCTTAGTCCTGTCCCTTACCACTACAGTGAAAAGCCCATCTCCATCCTCTCTGTAATTGCCCTTCAAGTATTTGATTCCTCCTCAGTTTTCTTATCTCCAGACTAAATAGCCCTAGTTCTTTCAACCTGTTCTCATAAGTCTTGCTTCCTAGCCCCTAATTTTTGTTGCTCTGCAGTGCACTTTTTCCTGACTATCCACATTCTTCTTGAAGCATGGGGCCCAAGACGGGGCACAGTACCCCAGGTGAGATTACCAGTGCTAAACAGAATGGAAAAACCACTTCCCTTGATTTTCAAGGAACACTGCTGTTAATACAACCCAGTATGCTCTTGGCCTTTTTTGCAACAAAAGCAAACTGCTGGCTCATATTTAGCTTATGATCAACTGTAACCCCCCAGGTCCTTCTCTGCAGTACTGCAGCCTAGTCAGTCATACCCAGGTCTGCATTTGTGCTTTCAGTTATTCCATCCCACATGCAGGATTTTGCACTTGTCTTTGTCAAATCTTACTTGGTTGATTTGTAAACCATTTCTCCAGCCTATCCAGGTCATTCTGGTTCCTAGTCCTACCCTCCAGAGTGTCTGTAACTTGCTGTCATCCACATATTTGCTAAGCGTATACTCAATCCCATCATCCGAATCATGAATGAACATGTTGAACAATACTGGACCCAGGACAGACTCCTGGAGAGCCCCACTATATAACTCCTCTCAATTAGACTTTGAGCCATTGATAACTACTCGTTGAACAAAATTCAGTCAGTTATGTATCCACTTTACAGCACTTGCATCTAGTCTGTATTTCCTTAGCTTGTTAATGAGAACATTGAAGACATTGTCAAAAGCCTTGCTAAAGTCAAGGTATATCACATCCACTGCTTGAGCCTGTCACCTTATCATAGACAGAAATTGTCCTATTCTCCTCAAGGTTCTTCACAATAGATTCTTTGAGGACTTGCTCCAGAGGTGCAAGGACTGTGGTCTCCAGGGAAAACACAGATGACTGTCAGCATGTTGGAGCTCAGGGCAGTTTGCAAGGCTTCTGAATCCTTCCTGCAATACATTTTGAGATACTTGATACAGATTGACAGAACACCATGGCTATCTCTTACATTGGCAAATGGCGCAGGTCACAGTTACTCCCAGAAGCTAGCACCTGAGCTGTGGAACTAGTGTCAAACAGTAGATTCGTCTTCTGCAGTATATATACCTGGTCTTCTGCACAGCTGGCCAGAAAACCAAAGCAGAGTTTTCTCTTTGTACCATAAGCAGGAGATCAAAGAGTCTTTCATGACATTTTGTTGGATGGGTTATTCCAGACAGAGCTCAGACTTAACAGAAAAGGTTATTCATTCGAGGGGAGGCCTGACCAGGGTCCCTGTCTGATGCTGTCTCGGTTTTGTGGACACGGAAACGACTATATCCCTGCACTCTGGTCCCCAGAGTTCTTTGCAAAGCTGGATAAGCCTCCACCAACTTGATCCTGATATCCCCAGTATGGCCAAGATGACTCTGGTTCCCAGATGTTCTTCAGCACAAGTCCTTTTCCTTTGCTGCGACATCATTCCCTGCAGATCCTTCACCTCACAGCCTGGATACTGGATGATTACAAGTATCAATGTTCATAACTGACTAGAGACCTCATATACTGCATCAAGAAGAGAATTTCTTTCCCTTTTCCGGGTGGGTTTGACTCAGCAAGTTTCCTGCTGTTGGCCAGGATGAGGTAAACTGCAGAAGAGTAGGGCTGTTCTGCACCCAAGAACTATAACTCTAAATTACTTTCTTTAGTGCAAGTAGAACAGTCTGTTCCTAAGTTCAGTCCAGATGTGCTCCAGTATCCATCTCAGCTCAGTACTCACCCGTAAGTGGTCAGACTGGTTCCCCCCAACCCCAATTCTTGCACAACCTGAATAAGGTGTTCCTTCCAACACGAGACTGATCCCCTTTCCCCCTCTCCACCTCCCCTCCCATCACATTTTGATCTGGTACTGGGCTGTTCAGATTTGAAGAACTAAGTTTTCTACTGAACCTATCAGTAAAAACCACGTTCTCAATCTAACACCTCGGTGAAAAGGCTGGGAAGAAATGATCCCTCATAAGAGGTTTCCCTGCATATGGTTTTTCATCAGGACAGGGTATCTTTAAAAGACATGCCACACATTCCTGTGAACTGCAATCATAATATCTCACTTCAAGTAACAATCTACCTTCCAGTCTTTCCAAAAAACATGCATGTCCAGAATGGAGCCATTAGTCTATACCTTGGACATGAGGCATGCCCTGGCCTCTGCTTACAGAGGACAAAACTGTTCTTCTGGGCAACTTGTCGCCATGGCGTGACTGGGCTATATTGCACAGCAGTCTCCCTCCAGGGACTCCAAAGGAATCCCTGACTGTGGAAAGACCAAGTGACAAAAATGCTGAGGGTGAATTCTCTTATCAGGCATGCTCTGCCAAAGCTCAGGTAATCTCTCCCACACTGCTACAAAATTTATCCAACCCAAGCATTTGCAGAGCAGCACAACAGTTACAAAAATTTATGTTGTTCCTGACAACTGGCTGTGTTTTTGGCAACATGGCGCATAAATCATTTGCTCTGAGAGAGTCTTTCCTCTAAGTAAATGGGACACTGCCTCTAAAAGTCTCCCTCAGTGGAGTGTGCTTATGGACAAAGGAAGGGAAATACTTTACCTTACAGTAACAGGAGTTCTTAAAGATGTGTTTTTCCCATAGGTGTGTTCTGCAGTCTGCCTTCCATTCCCTTCTTCAATCTGACCTACCCATAGCTCTGCAGCTGAGAACTGAAGCATAGTAAACGTGCACCACCCTTCACACTGTTTGGTGCAGGGCACCTACATGTTGCTTAGGTACCACTCCAAAAAGTATCTCTGGACTTGATCCTGAGGCGCTTGCATATGTTGCAGACGTACATAGAGACAGCATGTTTCAACATACCACAGCTGCTGGGCATGAAATCTTTCCGTTTTCTTGCCTTGCCACCTTCTCATGCTTTTTTCTCTGCCTACTTTCCTTGGCAGGACAGAGCTGATGCTCATGGCAACCAGAGAGCTTCTGCGGATCCCTCAGGCAGCCCTCGCAAAACCAGTGTCTACCCCCTCTAACCTGTTAGCCCTTTTCTCTCGCTACGTTGATCAGCAGAAGCTGAACTTGCTGGAGACAAAGTTGCAGTAAGTATACAGCTTTCGTCTGGGTTGGGTGTGTCACTGCCATTAGCTGCCCCACAACTCCCTGCTGTATCAGAGGGAGGGGGAAGGTGGCTGCATAGTAACAGTGAAGTTCACAGTCCACCTTTACAAATGAGAGGAGTTATTTTCCACGGGCAGAGAAATGGGCAGTCCTCATGAGGACAAACATGGCTAACAAAAGCCAAAAATCTGTGGATGTTTCCCAGCAGGGAAGACAACACTGACCGTCACTGTATCTCCTACCACTGCTACTGTCTGACCCTGTCTTCTTGCTTTCTCTGCTCTGTTAGGTTGGTGCAGGGAATACGGTAGAAGGTTTCAGAACACCCCAGCTGCCATCCTTGCCGCCACCATCACCACCAGAGTATTTCAGTGGAGGAGGGGGAGGCACTTCCTCCCCCGAAGCAAAGTCTTGTGGGATTTTTTTCACTTGGAATTTTGGCATGGGAGACCCTCCCTGGCTCCATGAACTTGGTTGGGTGTGTGTTTTGGTTTCTCCCCTCCTGGCCCCCGCTGCTAGGTCACAGCTCTATATGTCCTTGCTGTGCTGAGCTCTCCCCCAGTTCTGATTTTTTCCCCTCTGCCTCTTGACAACAGCTGCTGCTTCTCCAAACATCCCTTATCTATCCCCTTCCTTTCCCTCCCCAGCACACACACTACTGAGGGATTGGGAAGGAACGTGCCTGCTCCTCCTTCCTGCCCCCTGGCCATAGAGATGCCAGAGAGCCAAGGAGTTGGGAAGAGAATCCCTGCTCACTCTAGAAGATAGTGGGAGGTGCTCAACAGCCACCCTGCCTCCTTATATGGTTGGCAGGGTTGAGGCTTTTAAACAATTTATTGGCCCTGTGACCTTCTCTCTAATCTTTGGCTGAGTCGTGAGTCTCATGGCTTCTCCTTTCCTCCTCATAATCAAGCACTGAGGTCTGCTTCTCCCCCCGCCCCAGACACAGCACAGGGCCCTAGTTCCCTGTGCAGTTAATTGCACAAGTGGGCTCCCCTCTCACCTATCCCAATCGTGTGATGCAGTGAACACACTTTTTATTCCCTTTTTGCACACTTGCCTCGTCTTCCCATGAACCATTTTAACACCCAGCCTTCTTCTGCATTCCTGCACCTTGTTTAACCCCCAGCAGCTCAAGAGCCCTCTGGCCACTAACTATGGGGTCTGGGTTTGATCCTTTGCAGGTAGAGCTCCAGGCTAGTTGAAGTTTTCCATGTCCATCCATGGCTGGGTCCTGCTGTTTGCTCCTTTTCGAATGTGGTGGGGTTTTTAATTTGACTCTGCTTTTAAAAACAAAAAATATTTGCACATGTAGGTATTTTACAACCAGTAAACTCTTCCCTGATATTAACCAGCTCCCTCTCCTCTTTACCCCCAGTACAACCAGAACCTCCATCTGCCCTGCTCCCTTCCTCCTCCACCTTCACTTCCCTCACAGCCAATCAAGTGAAAAAAGTTCATTTTATTATATTTTTCTTTGTGCTTTTTCTTCCCTGATTTTGGTTCTGATTAATGAAATAAAAGTTTCTAAATTTACATTTTTATAGGGTATTGTAAATAAAAATAAATTGTATACTTCTGGGAGAGTAAAGTGATTTCCTTCCGCTCAGTGATCCTGGGTGCTGGGAGCTCTTTTCATTGAATAATAGCCTTATGTGCTCATAAGAAGGATCTCTTGCTGCTATATTTGTAAAGGGTGATGACTTGGATGGGGGGCGGCTCTCTGAGGTGGTGTGATAAAACAGTGGGTTCCAATGGCTGAAGTTGGAGTGGGACAAATTGAGGCTGAAAATAAAAATGTGTTAGTGCTATGGGCAATCAATGTTTGGAACCATTTGTGTTGTGGATTCTTTGTCTCTGCAGTCTTGAAGGATGATGGGATGCTTTCTTAAATGTAGGTATTAGCTTGAGCAAAATCTTTGAGCCTAATGCTAGAATTACTGAGTGACACTCTGGTTTATGAGAGTGAGGATGTTGGACCGGCCTGTAAAAAGGAGTTACTGTAGCTTGCTTCTTTTACCTGAATAGGGTCAAGTGGCACTACCCAAAGCTGGAACAGGCTGGAAAGATGAACTCTGTCCACCTGCCAGTGCAAATCAAGTGGACAAAGTGCAAAGACCCGAGGTTAGAGACTTTGGGTATCTTTACATGTGCCTTGGGATGTGTAGGGTGGGAGCCTTTAATTAGAGCAGCTCTAAGGAGCCCATGGTATCCCATGTATTCAGCGTCCTGGGCTTCAAAATTGCAGTGGGGGCACTTTAACTAAAGTTCGTTTGACCAGCTTTAGTTAAAGCACCCCCACCACCATTTTGAAGCATAGGGACACTGAACACACGTAACACCAAGGCTGCTGGAGCGTGCTAATTAGCATGCTCCACCAGACTTAATCGAGTCTGCTCTGATGCATACTAATGAGCATGTGTTGGAGCAGGCATCTGGTACCTGTGTAGGTGCCCTTTGCATCCACCATCCTTTGAACTTTCTAGCTCTTAGGAAAGGGATTGGGAAATTGAATAAGCCCAGTGCTTAATTGTGCTGTCTTACTAAAAACATGATACTGATGTGAGACTGAAAATGTGCTACTGACTTCAAGGGAAGAATATGTAGCTTAGCGCTGGCCAACCTTTCTAGCAAGCATGCCACAAATTAACCCTACATCCTCCCCAAGTGCCACTCTGTTTCCATTCCCCTACCTAATTTGCTCTGCTTTCTGCTTCCTTTCTGGTGCTCCCTACCTGATTTGCTATTTTGCTTTGTTTCCTGCTCTATCTACCAGTCTGCTACCTGTCCCCTCCCTTACCTGCTGTATGCCGCACAGAGAAGCTATCTATGCCACTTGTGGCACCCATGCCACAGGTTGGCCACACATGATGTAGCCAATTGTCAGCATTGCTATCAAGTAGCAGGCAGTTAGTTTTCCCTTCTGGAGTCTCCTGTCCAAGTGCTCACAAGCCAAGTTCTGCTTAACAGGGCCATTCAGACTTGCTCCTCTCTCTTCCTCCTGCCATTGCTAGAGAGAAAGGGTTGCTTTATGACGTTTCTAACTAAACCCCAGCACAAGCTTAATTTAATCTATAAAGCAGCCTGAGAAGTGACAGCATTCATAATTTTGGCATGCAGGGTCATCATCACCCATTGTGTCAGTTGCAGACCAAATAAGATCAGCCTTAGCTACACAACTATTTGCACAAATTTGGTCACGTATCAGAATAGCAGGCAATCAGAGTGCTACGGTAAAGTGGTCCTAGTATTCTCCCCAATTGTGCAAGAGGCTGTTCTGTTTTAAACCATTTGGAGTGCTGGGTTTTGTTTCTTTTCTGGTTCCCCCCCTTAGTTCCCATACTTTCATTCTTAACCATGTGGTCACCATCTTAAATCACAAAGGTATCTTTTCAAATCAGAAGGTGATGCAAGTTGAATACAGTTCCCTGGCTAACTATAGATAGACATAGGCTTTTACATAGCACAGAGTTCTTTGTCCAGGCACCACAAAGAATCCAAGTGCATAAGTAGGCAATGAACGATTTTAGAAACCCAAGAGCAGACTTCCTCAGTGGGGAATGATAGCATAGTTTTTCAGTGTGCTCTTTCCACCATGCAGCTGCATTTTTTTCAAGGAGAATCTTGGAAAGCAGGTGATATGTAAAGCTGTTGTAAAGCAGGTTTGGTGTTTGCATGTCACTGCTATTTAGCATCAGCTGCATTACATAGCCCTGTAACAAGAGTGTAAGTGGATGGATGCCTGTGGAACTCAGCAGGTGAGAACCCTAGAAGCAAAAGAGCAGCTCACAGCTCATCTTTACCTCTTGTACAACCTGAGAGGAACAGCTGAAAACACTAGTTAGGCAGAACATCAGGATCTCAACTGCCACAGGAAGTCCAGAAGTGGGTGATTGGCCAAGGGGTAGGGTTGTCATATAAACATGTTTGAACCTTTAATTTAGGGTGAAGAGGTGATCTCAAACTTTATTTGAACTAAAGAAGAAAATCCCAAATGTTTGGTTCAAGTCTGCTGAAGCCATTTATTTAATTGTACCTTTCCCTTTTATTTTAAACCTAAAATTTCAAAGCAAGTCACTTCAACTTGAAAAAATACTGTTTTGAAAATGTTATACCTTTAATTAATTTCAGGGGTATTTTCCTAAAAAATGCTCAGCTTCATAAATAGCATAGGTTCTAACCAGCTGTCATTATTTGTTCAAAAACTGGGGGGGAAAAAATCCTCACCAGTCCTAAAATCTGGCTCTTGTCAGTGGCCAAGAGGGGATCATCTATCAATGCAGCCATTGTTCTCTTCCATGTCCTGATTTGCAGCCTGGCAGAGAGAAGACTAGAACTCTATCATTTTTGAGCATCTCCAGCACACTAATCCTCCTCTGATCCAAGGCTGTTTAGCATTAAACTCTGTCCTACCTTCCTCTATGATCAGTGAAGCAATGTAGAATTAAACAGAGGGCTCAGCCAAGTCTCTGGTTTGTTGTCTTTTTCTTTTAAAGGGCTATTCCAGATCGTGGTAATTTTGAGTGGGGAGGGAGGTAGAAGAGGGAAACCATGAATATATGACCCAGGTGTAACCAATGCAGTGATGCCTGCTTGAGTTGCGGGAAGCCTGAGACTAGCTCTGTATTTTTAATTGCCTTAGTCATTTCAATTGGTGTCTAAGAGGTCAATATCAGCACTTATTTTAACTCGGTTCATTTCGCTGCTCAAGACATATAAGGAAGGAAAGCAGCATGTGAAGAAAATATGCACCACCAACTGAATAACTGCTTGTGCTGGTGTCATAATCGGGTGAGTTTGGGAGGTAGCACAATTCTCCCCTACAATCAAAAAAGAGCCAAGCCCAAGAAACAAAACAACATGTCTTCTGAACCCCAATGGCCGCGTCTACATGAGACACTACTGCGCAGTGCTTACTGCACATTTATTTAGTGCTTGTATAATCAAGTACTAAAATGCACAGTAGCCAGTTACTGTGCAGTAGTGCCAGTGAATGCTTTTGTGACGCTACTGCACAGTAGCATCACATCACGATTTTTGCCACGCGATGCTACTGAACAGTAGTATCAGGCTACTGTGCAGTGAGCGTTTTGTGTGGACACGGCCAATGAGGGGAAGCTAAATCAAATGACCCTTGGGTGCAAGAAGTTTTGTTGGAGGAAAATATTCATATTACCATGTCAGTGGCTTTTAATAGTTGTAATAAAAGAATCCTATGATAGCCTTAACAGAGAATGCTGTGTTTTAATTTAAAAAATAAAATAACCTGATTTCAGCCATTTCTTAATGTCCCTGTTGATTATTCATCATACTTAAAGATGTAAAGAGATGTTTTAAAATGTAAAAGTCTGTTTAATTAAAATTTTAGCTATGGCTGGGTTTTTAATAATGTCTGGTAGGGTTGAAGTTCAGGGATTTACGTAGTTTAACTATTCTTGTTGTCCCCAAAGGACAGTGAGTTCGTGCCCGGTGCGCTTGTGCCAATAAACACACAGGGGTGAAGGATCCAACTTAATCTTTATTTCTGCGCAGAAAGTGGTGCTTGGCAATCGTTCGCAAAGCAAGCACCCACACCCCAGTGGGCGTCTGCCTTATATAGCTACGTAACAGGTTAAACTTGCTGATGTGATGAAATGTATAGCAAGCCCAGCAAGTAACCCCCCTTTGCAGCTCCCCCCCAAGTAACCCCCCTTCCAGCTCCGGAACTTTGTTGATACAGCTTTTCCTTCTAGCAAGGCCAGCAATCAGCAACTAAGCAACAAGCAATCTCCCCCAGCCTAAACAACCTACTCTATGCCCGTGGTTAGATAAAATACTTTTTCAAAACATACAAAGCTGTTCCCTGGTTAAAATGCAGTGAAAGTCCAGGGGTGCTTCATCAAATCCCCCCTTCGAGGCTATGGCCTTTATGGAAAAAGCCCATAGTCCTCGACTATCTTTCTCATCTCCAGAAATCTCTTCGCTTCCTCCCGATTATTTTGGATCAGGTTTGTAACTGATGATTTTACAAACATCACACGGTGAACGGGGGAAGAAATTGATTTCTTGAATACCTCACAACACATTGGCGCACACTGTATCCCACAACAGATTATCAAGAAAATACATATACTTGCCACAATTAATAGGAAAATTTGCTTAAGCCA